TCTGAGAGCAGATGGCAATACCCACCTAGGGGGGCGGTGGCTTCAAGGATGAAATGCGATAATACGAGTATCCTGCTTAGCCGATGCCTGGCACTGTGCGTGCTTGCTGATGACCTCGTGATAGGTGGTCACCCCCTACCGCCCTCCCTCACCTTCCCTGTTGAGTTCTCGGGACTCCCCTGACCCTCCTTCAGATGGTCTGGCTGCTCTGGGGCCTGAGCTGACCTGGACGCGTCGGGATCCGGGCTCACTTCCCTCAGCCTCCCCGTGGGCGAGCGCCTGCAGAGGTGATAGCTGCGGGCTGCCCGGAGGGAGGCCGAACCCCATGGTCAGACTGGGGGGGGTTCTGCTACTGGTCGGGGAAGGTGACCCCCCACTCTTGCCTGGCAGGAGAGGGAGGGGCAGAGAGTGCCCCCGGGGGGCAAGGGGACCTTTCCAAAGCAGCACCAGCTGAGAAGCTGTAGGGGGAGGAACTGTGAGACACGAAGGACGAGGAAGAAGCAAATGGATTAGAGGAGCGGGTGGTGAGGCCTATGGACCCAGGGGGACAGGAAAGCCCTGTCTTTTCTCTCCTACTCTTCCCAGGACATGCAAAGAGGCTCATGCACTGAGGGCCCCAGTCGCCTTCCCAGGGTGGTGGTGACCCAGGTGTGTACTTACTGCCAACGGCAGAGCCTGCGGCGGCACCTGTGGAAAGAGAAGGGTCACAGCAGAGTAAGGGGCCCGGCCACCTCCTCCCTGCAGAGGAGGGGGTGGCAGGGCTGGGGAAAGGAAATCTGGGGGCCTGGGCACCTCACCGTGCAGGGATTGGGTCAGATCATCCATTCCATCCTCACTGGCGCCCTGAGAGGGAGGGGCCCCTATTAGCCCATTTTGCAGATGGAGAAACTGAGTCTCAGAGCTGTGACTTACCCTATCAGGGGACCTGCTGATAAGCCTCCGCTGGGGGCTTCACAGGCACCCTTCTCATTTGATTTTAGACACTCGGGTCCTCCAGTGCAGGACAAGGAGGCGGGTGGCCGTTCTCTCAGGAGTGATGGGATTTCAGAGAACATGAGGGTCCCCAGCCACGGGGACAGACTGGTTTACTGGAAGCTCTGATGGAAGTTACCACCAGAGGGAAACCATGGTGCATGCTCCCACCTGAGGAAATGCAGGGACGGCTGAACGACTGATTGGAAGATGATCGCAGCGCCTGCCACATGTTGAGAGCTTTCTGCACGTGGGCACGTGCTGAGTGCTGTCCCCACCTGGGCCATTCAGTCCTCACACAGCCCCACAGGGGCTTTTATTAGGGTCCTGATTCTACAGCTGAGAAAACAGGACTCAGGAGGAGAAATGGCTTGTCCAAGGCCACACAGCTGTGAGTGGCAGAGGCCTGACTCCGACCCGGGCCTCTCTGTCTGTGCCCTGGGGATGAGAGGGGTCCAAGGCCACAGTTTGACCTGGCACTTTGGGTACCAGGGCGGGAATCGTCAGTCTCAGAAGGAAGGAGCCGGGGCCACAGCTTCCCCTCCAGGCGGTCCTGACAAAGGACGGAGCGTGAAGACACCCCTCCGTGCCCCGGGAGCCCTGGGGTGGATGCTGAGGTGTGGGCAGGGGGACGTGTGGCGTGAGGACCTTCCCTGGTGACCCTGGCGGCGGGACAGTGAGGGAGGCCTGGGAGGATGCACCTGGGGGCCCACAGTGCATGACCTGCAGGTAAGGGTCTTAGTCTGTGGGTGCCGGGAGACCTTGGGGGGTCCTTCCAGAAGGAGAACAGGGTCCAGAGAGGAAGCGGGGACGTGGGGAGGCCAGCAGGACAGATGAAGGGATGAGCCTGCGAGCCAGAGGGAGGTGACAGCGATTAAGGAAAGTGTTCAAGAAACGGTTCTGGCAACAAAGAGGTGGGCTGGACACGCGGCCAGGGGGGAGCCGGGCAGGGCTGGGCTGTCGCCCAGAGCACTCTCCGTGCCTTTGCAGGCCAGCAGGTGCTGTGACTCTGGGAGGTCACCCTTCAAAGGCTTCTTGAGCGGTGCCCGCACACGAACAACATGCCTTGTTACGAGGCTTCCGGCTTTGTCAGCCTAAAGTTGCATAAATCTTTCACCGGTTGGTCGCGGGGGTGCCAATGGAGGGGCTCTTGGGAGCGTGCCCAGGAGGGGCGAGCTGAGCGGTGCCGGCAGCCCAGCCTGGCTTTGGAGCTGGGTGCAGTGGTGGCATCTAACTTGCTGCTAAACTAGGAGGGCACTGAGGGTCACTGGGGCTCTGTTTGTTCATCTGGAGAGTGGGATAATAATGAAAATAGCACCCGAGGGGTCACTGTGAGGGTTGAGAAGCTGTGTATGGAATGTGCCCGGTGCAGCCTCCTTGTCAAAGCACTTGACCAGTGTCAGCAAATCACTGGGGCGGGGGCAGCCGGGGAGTCCCACTCTGGGTCCAGCCCAGGCCCCCTTGTCCATGGCAGCTGGGGGCTCCCTGGGACTCTTGATTTCAGGGAGATACCCAGGGACTATGTTGGGGGACCAATGATGGGGGCCCCCAAAGCGTGTTCATAGTGCAGGCGTGTGTGGGCGCACCCCGAGGATGACCTCTGGCACAGGAAGGCTGAGCCGGGAGAAGAGAGGGCCATGCAGACGGCACGGGCCAGGCCCTCAGAGGAGCCCTCTGTAAAATGGGATAATAGGAGACCCGCTTCCTGGGGCCACCCTAAGGGCTGAGGGAGTGGGGACCCCATAGCACTTGGCTATGTAAATGCCCCATAAACACTGGTTATGAGGGATGGCGCTGCTCTTCACGGTTAGCCCGGAGCGAGGGGTCCCTACCCCCTCCTCCCTGACACCCTCTGGGCCTTCTCTCCTGCCCTGGGGACAAGAAGGGGAAGAGGCCAGCGGAAGGATGCTGAGGAAGCTCATCTCAGGTTTCCAGCAGGATGCAGGTGTGCTAGAGGTTCTTGACGACAAAGCCTGGCGCTTAGGAGCTTGGTCACAAGGGTGTGCTTGCGTGTGCATATGTGTGTGTGCGCATGTGTGTCCACGTGTGCATGCGTGCATGTTTCTGCGTGCACACCTTTGTAGGGAGTACATGTGTGTGCACGTGTGTGCGTGATGAGATCCACAGCTCCCGAGGCCGAAGGCTAGGGGAGACCATGGCCTCACTGGTCCGAGGGGGCAGTGGGCGGTGGCGGGGGGGCCCAGGTGCAGCGGCCGCTCTGCGTACGCACACGCATTGGGAGAGCCGTGGGGCAGCGGCAGGTAGGAGCCAGCCCGCCAGGACCGTGTGCGGAAGCTCCTCTTGCACTTGCCGCAGTCGGGGCCTGTGGTGTTGTGTTCACACTCGCACTGCAGGCTGCCCTCGCGCACGGAGCACAGGTTGGCGTGCAGGTTGCACTTACACCTGGGGGGACACGGAGGGGGCAAGGCGTCAGTGAGCGTGTGGGCGGGCTGTTCCAGCTCTCTGGAGGGGCTTGGAGGGTGGCCTGGAAGGGACTCTTGAGGCCATCTGTCCAACCTGCCACGACTCTCCTTCGGGACAAATACTCCCGGATTCAACATTTTGAGTCCTTCCCCAGCACGAGGTGCCCCTGGCTCCTACCTCTCGGTGACGGGGGGTGGGGGGGCGTGAGGAGATGCCCTTGTCCCAGGTGCTGAATTTTTAGTAACGCAGCTTCTGGTCACCTTTGCTCTCAACCATGGAGGGTGGACAGGTAGCAAGAGTTACCTGTCCCTGGTTGTGGAGACGTGGACCTGTCCCCAGGCTGTACCTCTGCTCTCAGCCACGGCCCACGCCCATGCCCTTGAGGGCAGAAAGAAACCCCAACTCCCCAAACCCTGTCAATTCATCCACACATGTATTATTCATTCATTCATTCAAATATTTATAGGCAACTCATCATTCTGAAACCAGTAAATAAAGGGAAAGAATCAAGCGTTTGTCTCGCCTGTCCTATAAAAAGGGTACCTCCAGGTAACCAGTAGTTGATGAGGGGATGTTTCTTTTTATAGAAGCATTTTCCAGCTGATAGTTGAAGAAGGAAGGACAGAATTTGAAAGTCACCACGTAGCATCCCCTACCGAACGGAGAGCTATTGGCACAGAGCATCAATAGAGAGAGACAACCAAAGAAAAAGTCTCGTCAAGACAAATTGAACTTGAATCTGATCAACACTCTGGATCCAGCTACAAATTTATAGGAAATACAGAGGACAGAGAAACATACTAAACACCACCAGGGGGACGCAATCAGCAAAACCCAGAAGTGATGATATAGTTTATAGGACAGATGAATTGCAAGGGGCAAAACTTGAAATGGAGGGAGGAGGGACCCAGATCAAGAGAAACCTCAAAGGCAAAGCAACCAAGAGCAGATCGTGGACCTCATCTGTATCTTTGGTCAGACAACCTCTAAACTCAGATAAACAATGTATATTCGTGAGACAACTGGAAATGTGAACACTGACTACATCTGGTGATATTAAATTAATGTTTATTAAATGCAATGATGGTACTGTGGTTACATCTTTAAAAGTCCTTGGCTTTAGGGACACACACAAGTATTTACAGATGAAAGTATCTGATGTCTGGGATCTGCTTCAGAATAACACAGAAAGGGAAAACATGGGCAGAGATACAGACGAAACAAGAAAGGCTATGAGTTAATTGCTGAAGTTGGGTGACAGGTATATGGCAGTTCATTATAGTAGATTCTATTTTCGTATGCATGTTGGAAATCGTCCACAATAAAAAGTTAGAGAGAGAGAGTGCTCCCTATTCTCATATGGGAAGACTTCCAAGATATATTGTCAATATTTGTAAAAAGCAAATTGCAGAATAATGTGTTTGGTAGGATTTTCTTTTTATTAAAATACACAAAGAAAAATATTTATAGGGCACCTGTTATGTGCCAGGCTCTGAGCTGGGAATGGTGAGTATAATGGTCGACAAAGCAGATGGGGTCCCTGGTCTGATGGAGGATAGGGTCCAGTGGGGAGACAATCAAAAGATCAGTGATTGGGGGAGGGACGGGAAGGATGAATAGGTGGAGCCCAGGGGATTTTTAGGGCAGCAGAGTGATTCTGTATGACACTGTCACGGCAGACACACGGCATTACACATTTGTCAAAACCCACAGAAGCACACAGCGGCAAGACAGAGCCCTAATGTCAACTGTGGACTTGAGTTGACAATACTGTATCAATGCTGGTTCATCAACTATAACAAACGTATCACACTAATGCAAGATGTCAATAACAGGTGGAACTGGGTGGGGAACCCGGGTGTTAGAACTCTTTGCATGATCTGCTCAATTTTCTGTAAAGCTAAAACCTAAAATTTAATATAGACTTAATTTAAAAATAATAATCATGCAAACCTTTCATTAATGCCAATTGTCACAGGTGCCCACGTGTTCTACAAAGGAGAGGGGCTCATGGGTGGGTCTTAACTTAGTCTGGGGGCAGCAGGATAGGCTTCTAGGAAGAACAATTTAAATCTGACACCTGAAGGAACATCAAGAGTTACTCAGGCAAGGAGGGGAGAACCTTCTGGAAGGATACGAGAGCACTGGGGAAGACCCTAGGGCCGAGAAGAGCTCAAAGGGGGAAGAGGAGGCCAGACCGTGATTCGGAGGCTGGGTTGTGTTCTGGAAGCCATTGGAAGGTTGGAGGTGTCCTGCTCTGACTCCTATTTTATATATCACCGCGGTCGCTCCATGGAGGATGCTTTGTCAGGGGGACCAGAGCCAGGGTATGGAGAGCGGGGAGGAAGCTGTGCCCGGCTGGCAGCAGAGGACAGTGGCGTGGACCAGGGTGGAGGCGCCTACGTCCCACCAGTGACGCCTGGCGTGTGCAACATTTCCCCTCGCTGGATCTCATCATCTCAAAGATTGTTCCCCGAATGCTAAACCAGCATTTCTTCTCCAGCTTTCCCCCTTCTCTTCATACCCCACCTTCCCCTTAGGGACACTCCTCCCGGACAGAACGTCTCCCCTTAGCCTCTGCTTATCCACACGATGAATATTTAACTCCGTGCATCTTCCCGCTTCATAAATCAGTCCTGCCTCCCCTCCTGCCTTCTTTGACTCCATCTGACTGGAGCACTGCCGTGAGGCCGGCCTTCCAGGGCAAGGATCCCAAATGGGGAAAACTGGCTGCCAGGTTCCTAGCAGCCCTGCAGCTTGGAGTCAACCTGCTGCCTGCTGGCTTCAGAAGTGCCGGGGCTGCCTTCCTTCTCATAGCTTCTCTCTGCCCTCATATCATCTTGAGGAATGGTTACGGGAAGTTGGGCACATCCATGCCCAATTATAAAGCCATTAAATATTATGTTGTCAAAGTCTACTTCAAGCCTTGGGGAATGTTCCAAATAGAAATGAAAAGACCATACTCAGCAAGTGTTTACTGTGTGCCAATGGGTATCTCATCCGACCCCTGAATGACCACAAACGCTGGTACTACTGTCACCTTCATTTTACAGACGAGGAAATGGAGGCTCAGAGCGGTTAAGTATCTTGCCCAGAGTCACAGGGCTGTCCAGAACTGTGACTGAAACCGGAACGCAGAGATTTCCAACTCCGGAGTCCAAGAGGCTAATATGGGTTAGAATATGGATTGTAAAAATGTAAGATACCAAACTGTAGGTATTATAGTGTTATGGACTGAATTGTGTCCCCCCTCAAATTCATATGTTGAAGCCCTAACGCCCCAATGCAACTGTATTTGGAGAGAGACCCCTTAGAGAGGTAATTAAAGTTCAAGGAGGTCAGAAGGGTGGGGCCCTAATCCCCTAGGGTTGGTGCCCTTACAAGAGGAGGAAGAGACCCCGGAGCTCTCTCTCCACCATGTGAGGACACAGTGAAAAATTGGCCATCTGCAAGCCAGAAAGAGGGGTCTCACCAGAAACCAACCCTGGTAGCATCTTGATCTTGGACTTCTAACTTCCAAAATTGTGAGAAAATAAAGAAATGTCTGTTGTTAAAGCCCCCCAGTCCGTGGCACTCCATTATGGCAGCCCAAGCACACTAGCACATGCAGCTTCTGATTATGCTTAAGTACATATATCCATACCTGAAACACCAGTAGACAATACATCTAGGTATTCCTGTACTTGTCCTGAGGGAGGGGTGGGATTATAAATGATTATAGTTATTATTTCTATTTCCTTCTTTGTCACTTTGCACGTTTCCTATATTCTCTATAGTGAGCAGGTGTTACTTGTTATAAGTAGATAACAAATGGTTTTTGAAAACTGGAAATCAGGCCAGGCGGGGAAGGAGGCTGGTTCTTGAGCTCACACAGGCCTTTCCTCTCAGGAGGAGAAGCAGGTCCGTCAGGGTCCTGTTTGGGAAACCATCGCTCCATGTTACACACCATGCACTGTTCGTGACTCTCAAGTCCCAGGTTCAAGGATGTTTTTTGAACTCTCTGGAATAGAATTCTGATGTAGAGTGAAGGCCCTGTCCAAGGAAATTAGCCAGTGCTAAAGTCTGTGCTATTTTAACTCCATCGTCCTTGGACACTTAGCCCTGTCAAGGTTTTACTGCAGCTGAAATAAACAGAGCATGAGAAAGTCTGTTCAGTCTTTCCCTGGAGTT